AAATTAACCTGTGTTTTATGAGGCTAATAATTAATAAGGTTGCAGCAGAACATTTGTGAGAGAAATAGACAATAATAGCCACTGCCAACTGAACTTTCCTTCAATGGGATAACAATGAAGTACGGAGCACTTCAGGTCAGAGAGGTGCAAGTATAATTTGTTTCCGAGAGAGAAGGAGGGAGGGAGGGAGGAAAGGTGAGAGAATAGTAGCATAATCGGAGAACTATTATATTATCCTGGACATAGCATGTGGGGATTGAGGGAACTTGCAGAAGAAAATGTCAGCCTCCTGCACCAAAAAATAGCAAAACATCTTATAGCAAGTACCTGATGTAGTGTAGTGCAGTGGTTCCCAACCTTTGGTAATCCAGTGTTCTTGGACTGTAGCTCCTCAAAATCCTGGGCTGCACAGCTGGTGGTGAAGGCTTCTGGGAATGTCAGGCCAAGAACACCTGGGTTACACAAAATTGAGAACCGCTTAACAAGAAACTGGAACAATTCCAAAGAAATGGAAAAGTCTCCAACAAGGATGGCTGAGCAAGGATGAGGACTTATATTCGCAAAGGCTTACTTCAGAGACTACTCTGTGATGATGCTGGTACATTTGCCATGTCATGTCATTCATACAAAGCCAGTCATCTGCTAGAATTGCTTCTGCTGAATTATATGACTGGTCCATCTAGCACTTGCTGGTGGCCACTCTTCAAGATTTTCAGCCCTACTTCAAGATGTAAGCGATTGAATCTAGAACTTCCTGTTTTGTAAATAATGGGCTCCACCACTCTGACACTCAAATGTTGAGTAATAAGTCTACTCGTGTGTGCCCACACTGAAAGACCAATTGAATGTCAGGAGCCTGCTGTAACCAGTTTGTGATGTATTTTGGAGAAGTGGTTCACCTCCACACTTTCTTGACCTTCCAAGTTGATGTCTTTATTCCAGTTCATTCTTGCCCTGGCTCAAAGGATATTTTCTGGTTTGTGCAACCTGTGTGCAGTGGTTTAGATAACTGCAACCTGTTACCTGCATGATTGCACTTTCTCTCTGAGTAAAATCTCAAGAAGGAAGTTGGTCTTTTGAAAATTAGACATGGTAAAAATGTGTCCTTAGCTGAAGAAGTGGATTTAAATTGGCTGGTAAAATAATTCCTTTAAAAAAAATTGTCATCATATTGTATTCGTGAAGGCTTTCACAGCTGGGATCTAATGGTTGTTGTGGGTTTTTTGGGCTCTTTGGCCATGTTCTGAAGGTTGTTCTTCCTGACGTTTCACCAGTCTCTGTGGCCAGCATCTTCAGAGGAACAGGAGTTCTCTGGACAGAGTTCCTACTCTAGTCCTCTGAAGATGCCCATGGCCACAGAAACTGGCGAAACGTCAGGAAGAAGAACCTTCAGAAAACGGACAAGAGCCCAGAGCCCAAAAAACCCACAACAACAATGTCATCATATTGTCACCATCCAAAATCATCAATTGGTTTCTGATACAACTTTATCTGAACAAGGCTTTAGGGCAGGTGGCGACATATTCATCTCCTGAAGAAAAGTGATAGGTTGATTGGGATTCTCACCTGGTTTTTAAACATGAGGTGTATCTGCATTAAATCTCTACATACTTTGACAACACTTTCAATTGTTATGGCCCCACTCCATGGACTCCTGGGAACTGTGGTTTGGTGAGGTACTTAAGCTTCTGGATTTTCTTGAACTATAGCAGAGACAAAATTAAAATTTCAAAATTCCTTAGGAAGGAATTATGTCAATTAAAATGGTAGGAAAGAGATATAATTCCAGTGAGTAGATAAACAGTGGGCAAAATTCTATCGCATAAGAAAGTGCCTGGTGTAATCACCAGTGGTGGTGATCCAGTGGTGATTTTTTTTTTACTTTTAAAGTCTCATAGCTTTCCCTTGAGCAAAAGGGAGCCCTAGAGAGCCTTGGAACCTAAAACAGTGGAGGGGGAGGAAACTTTTTATCAGTGTTCATTAAACATTTCTGGCATCTGATCCAAGATATGTCAGGTGCGAACGTATGCAACAGGGTTTTGCCCACTGAAAATGCCTAAGCCGCCTAGAGTGGTCTGGTAGTCCAGATAGGCGGGGTATAAATCAAATAAATAATAATAAATAATAATAATAAGTCACAGTCATCCAAGGAGAT